CACTGGGTACAGTCAGAAGCGCAGGAGGGTGAGAGAATTCACCAGAGCCAGAGTGGGGAGCAGAGCAGGCAGAAGGACCGAAGCACACCGCTGAGGGGAGCAGCGGGCAGCAGGAGAGGTCTGCGCGCCATGTGGGACCCTCCTCTGGTGGCCGGGGAGCAGCCGGGGATCGAACCGGCGCTGCAGAAGCTGCGGGCAGCTTCGCAACCCAGCGCTCAACCGCTGCGCCGCCTGGGAGGCCCACAATGTATGCATTTTCATCTTGGTTATAGTCCCCATACAATTCCCACCACCCTTGTTTCTTGAGAGTAACTCTACTGGTTGAAAGTAGTGAGGGGGGGGCGGCCTCCCCGGTGGCGCAGCAGTTGAGCGCTGGGTTGTGAAGCTGCCCGCAGCCTCTGCGACGCCCGCCGGACGCCCGCCGGCTCGATCCCCCGCTGCTCCTGGCCTCAGCAGACCTCTGACTGTACCCAGTGCTTGTATAAACAAATAAATAAACAAAAATACATGCCTCTTTTAAAAAAAAAAGTAGTGAAGGGAACTGCAAAACAACAATCTTGCTACAGACCCAGAGAAAACTAGAGCAGGAAGATAGAGAATGAGAGATATCTTCAGGGAAACTTTCTTATTTTAATTTTTGGAGAAGAGGTGTAAAGGAGAGAAGTAGAATTGTTAGGGGAAAAGGCAGTCCCAAAGCAAATTCCATACAGGCTTTGTGGACTCCACCCCCACCCCAGGTCAAAGCCAAAGACACTGGGAACTCCAAATCCCATCACCACCAAAGGGAAGGTGGCTGGGACCTGAGGGTGGGGTTAAGCAGCCAGGTGGATACAAAAGGCAGACACGTGGGCTTTGGGGCGCTCTCCATTTTGGGGCCCTCGGCCAGCTCGCGGCGTCCGTCTAGCTCTGAGAGTGACTTTGGGGTTTCCAGGTCGTCGGATCGGGTAGGACGCATTAAAGACTTTATTTCCCTATTTTCCCTGAGTTGTACATTTTCCTTATTTCTTTTTCTCTTGTAAATAAACCTTTTTTAACCCTTTTGCGTGTGTCTGTAGTAGAGTATTCATAAGTCCCTTTAAAGCGCGCGGGTGAGGACCCACAGCCAGGAACCCGTTTAATATCGGGGTTGCTCTATAACAGAATCAAAAGAAAAGTAGCATGATTGAAAACGTGGAAAACAAGATATGAGAATAAGATAAAGGATATTGATGAGATGTCAAAAGAAGGAAAAAAATTGTTCCAGAATCATTATCAACTAAGGCCACTGGTTCCATGAAGAGAGAAATGGAATCCTAGTTTGCCACTCTGATCTGCTGCAAACGATACATACAAAACCAAAATGAAATAAATATCACTTTTTGACCTTTAACTCTTAAAGTCAACCTTAAACAAACATAAACAACAATGATTTCAGAACAAAATGTAAACATAGAATAGGCTGACAGAGGCTGAAAGGTACAAAGGAGGCCTGTGGAGGGGAAGGTGGGGAGTGCCTACTCCTGACCTCACAGAGAGGAGTAAAAGATACTATCTACAGTGGATGCAACAGGAAATGAGGATTTAACTGTGTTCTTTGAAGTTGAAGAGGAGACCAGAAAAGCTCCCCAGAATAGTGATTTAACTATATTTAGAAGAGAAGGGGGTTGGGAGAAAGGAAGAACTAAGCTAGAAACATCTGACTCCTCAGCCATCATGGAGAAGTCAACAGAAAGCACTGAAGTTGTTAAATTAATAAACAGCATCTTATTTAGAAATCTGAGGCAACCACCAAATGAATTCTAAACAAATGCTTAAAATTTGTTCAGGGGAGAAGAATTACAGGGTGGGGCAGGATGGACCACATGACTAGTTTTTCATTAGCAGGATGGAGCAAATGACCCTAGTTTTTCATTTTCATGAAGGTCTTTGACTATTCTTTCATCTTAAACCACTTTGCATACATTACTAGTTAAATTTTTAATGAGGACTTTCTCAGATAAGCAGTTTGTAAGACTGTGTGGAACATAACAGCCAACAAAAAATTAGAGAATATAAATCAAATTGGTGTTAGAAGTCACCTCTGAATCTTTGGATACAAAAATGTTTCATTTTTTTTTGCATTATAATTTGTACACACACACATCTTCCATAGCAATTAGGTTTATTACTTAGAATTTATTATTTTTTTAAGATCTTCTTTTTTTTGTTTTTTTTTTAATGATTTATTTTTATTTATTTATACAAGCACTGGGCACAGTCAGAAGCGCAGGAGGGTGAGAGAATTCACCAGAGCCAGAGCGGGGAGCAGAGCAGGCAGAAGGACCGAAGTACACTGCTGAGGGGAGCAGCGGGCGGCAGGAGAGGTCTGTGCGTCATGTGGGACCCTCCTCTGGTGGCCAGGGAGCAGCTGGGGATCGAACCGGCGCCGCAGAGGCTGCGGGCAGCCTCGCAACCCAGTGCTCAACCGCTGAGCCACTGGGGAGGCCCTATTACCTAGAATTTAAAAAATAACTTTTGAAGCTTTAACTCCTATGTTTCTCCTGGGTGGTTATGGCTGATTTAAAATGTCCTCCCCATTCCCATTCAATGTGGTAAAAGGGTCAAGAATCCTAGGATGCCTGTGTGGTTTATATTTATAGAAACTTCGCCTGCCTACTTCAGCCTTCTGCATGGCAGCGCCAGTAGTCAGGAACCCCCAGATGTCCTCCATGAGTTCCAGGACCCTCCACCAGCACCTGAACTGGTGGAGCTCTCACCCCCCTCTTGTGCCCAGATAGGACTGACTCAAGGGTCACTCAGTTCTGTCCACACACAAGGTCTCTAGTCTTCAAAGTAAACTCATTTTTGACAAGTGAAACAATCACATTTCACAATAACATTCTTCATGAGGATAAAGATACAGAGAACAGGGCTATGCATTAAGAGTTGGAATTTGCTTATTCATGTGCTCATTTTCCAGATAAGAAACTGAAACCCAGAGAGGTAAGGTCACCTGCTCAGATCTGATTTCCAGTGTTTTTTCTATACCATATTTTTAAAAGGAGGATAATTCGAGTGTCTCAGATTCTTGGAACTGTTCTTAGAGATGGAAAGATGAGCTGAGTTAGGAAGATGAGATCTGTTGGGCAGACACAAGGTAAGGAGGGATGATACACTGAATGTTTACACTAAAAAGGGGTGAAAAGAGGAGGGATGAGTAAAATGCAAACAAGTTTTGTTTTGTTTTGTTTTTTTAAGATTTATTTATTTATTTAATCAAGCACTGGGTACAGTCAGAAGCGCGGGAGGGTGAGAGAATTCACCAGAGCCAGAGCGTGGAGCAGAGCAGGCAGAAGGACCGAAGTACACTGCTGAGGGGAGCAGTGGGCGGCAGGAGAGGTCTGCGCGCCATGCGGGACCCTCCTCCGGTGGCCGGGGAGCAGCTGGGGATCGAACCGGCGCCGCAGAGGCTGCGGGCAGCTTCGCAATCCAGCGCTCAACCGCTGCGCCAATGGGGAGGCCCACAAACAAGTTTTGAATGCTTCTGGACTATGCTTGCTGTGGGGGACATTACCAGTATTGTCCTCTTTTACTGGGAAGGGACTGAGGCCCAGGGCAGTTAAGCACATGGCTGCTAAGAGCGCACACTCTACTTTCTCTCAGTGTAAGACTCTTTAAGCTGCTCCTCTATCATGTGGAATGATGCTCTTGGCACTGGGGTGTCTGGAACAATTCCCACCTCTCCCATTTGCTAATATTTGGGAAGAGTTAGTTAAGAGACACTCATTGGTTGCTGCTTAAAATCACTAGGCTCCTGGGCTTCTCCTTGGTCCTGTGCACTACGAGTGTACCAGAGCCTGCATGTACCAGCTACCAGGGGCAAACTGCTGTTTCTTTGGAATTTTGCAAGATGATGGACATCAATCTGTAGCTCAAACCCAGTCTTTGGGGTGGGGATATCACAGCCTGCAATGGACAAACTATACCCATTAGGACTGTCCTCCACTTCGGGTCTGCTCAACATTTCCCAGCATGTCACTGTCCCCATCTGCCCACTTCCTGCCAGTGGGACCGCAAAGATGCTCCTGTGAAAGCTCACACTTACTTCTCTTGTTATAAACATCCTTTAAATATATTTAATAGACTGTTGTGGGGGTTTTGTTTTGTTTTTTTCTTTGTAAACTTGAAAGCTTTGTATCAATTTCAGTGGTAACTCTAGGCCAAAGGCCTAAGAGAACAGATTCTCTGTGTCACTCAACCCCTTTGCGCAGCAATGCTTAACAACTTGTTTTCCATAGTCACTGCCATGTCCTTTCTTCAGACCCTTATCTCACAGTGGCCTCTTGCTGGGCCCTCTTAGCTGGCTTCCCTGCTTCAAGTCTTGCCCCAGTCCATCCTCCTTATCTCCACATGGTCAGTCTTTTGAAAACCCTGTCTCTCTGGCCACGTCTCTGGCAGAGGCTCTGCGCTGACTTCAAACACTGCAAATTCCCAGCTCTTAGAAGCCCCACCTACCTTTGGCCGCTTGTTCCCCCAGGGGACCCAAATAACAACCTACTCAGCTGCTGTTCCTTCTCCTTAGAAGGCTCCCCTCAACCCACATCCTCTGAAATCCAGTTTAAGGGGCATTTCATGCATGATACTATCTGTCCCTGATCCTTACTGCCCCGCTGGAAGCAAGCGTATTCGCTGTTGGACCTCTCAGAATACTGTGGCTGTCGCCCTCACATGGTCCTCCCAGCCACGACTTCTGTGCTGTGTGCAGACAGAAGCACCTGCTGCTTCACTACAGCTTAGACAATGTCATCAACCAGCAGCACCTGGCCATCTGTTTGAAATGTAAATTCTCAATCCAGTCTCAGGCCTACGTCAATCAGAATCCTGGGGTGGGAGGGAGTGGGAGGCAATCAGGTGATTCTGACGTACACTGCACACTGATCTACCCAACCCCCAGGCTTTTTCTGTTCAAAGTCCTTTTCTCCTCAAAGTATCTTTTTCCTGTTAAAATTTCCCCCTCTTCATTCAGATTTTAGCAGTCTTACCTTCTGGAAGGATTGTGTATCTGGTGATCCCACTCATTTCAGAATTTTGTATGTCACCCATTTCTGTAGTCTGATTCTGGGCTGGTGAAAAAAGCAATAGATGTAAAGGACATTACTAGAACAACTGACAAATCTGAATTTGGATTGTAGTTGATGCTCTTATCTCACCCTTTCCTGCATTTCACAGGCCCTGAAATGCTTCCTATGTCACCAGCCCCTACTGAGATACGGAGTCGGTGTTCTGTATTCTGTTCCTCTTCCATTCTGTCGATCATGTTTACTCTTCTCAAAACATTTGCAGCAAAGGCCACCTTCTAGGTCAGGCAGTTCTGTCATCAGGGAAGACTTGCATGCAACCACTCTGAGGGGCCCAGGGCAAATACTGGGATTCCAGTGCGGCTAAAGGCACTTTCACTAAGAGGCTCATGCATGGTCCCCGCTCTCGTAAGGGCGCTCTTTCTGCCTGGAGTCAGATGTAGCGTCCACAGGCCCAAGACCTGGAGAACTAGGACTCTGTTTAATTTTCTTTTTCTTCAGTAATTTTTAAAAATGTAATTCCAGAGTTTGAGAACAATTGCCAATATAGTATAAGGAAATCCCGTGTACCTACAGCTTCCCCATCACTTACCTTTTGCTTCATTTCTTCTATTGCTGTATATTTCTCTGTGTTTTCTTAAGCATTTAGAAGCAATTTAGAAGCCTCCCTGGTGGCACAAGGGGTTAAGCACTGCACTATGAAGCAAGAAGCAACTTGCAGCCTCTGCAGCGCAAGCTCGACCCCAGCCTGTCAGGGAGCAATCCACATGGCGCAGCAGACCTCTCCTGACTTGACTACTGCTCTCCTCAGCAGCGTATTTCAGTCAGTCTCCTATTCTGTTCCCCACTCTGTCTCTGGTGAATCCTCTCACCCCCTGCATCTCTGGCCTGTACTCCAGCTCTTCATGCATAAATAAATAAATCTTAAAAAAAATAAAAGCAATTTAACTACATTATGCCCCTTTATTCCAAAATAGTTCTAAGAACAACATCATTCTTTTATGTAAGCTCAGTACAATCAACTTTAAGAAACTTAACACTAATAGAATACTATTATTTAAACTACAAATTTCATCAATTATGCTAATAATGTTGCTTACATCTATTACTGTTTTTCCCTGACCAGAATTAAGCCCAAGATAAACCATGTATTGCATTTAGTTGTCATGTCTATTTAGTCTCCTTTACTATGGAACAGTTCCTCTGTATCTCTTTGACTTTTTTGACTTTGACATTTTGAAGGCTACTAGCTAGTTATTTGGAAGACCATCCTGGAATATGAATTTATCTACTGTTTAGATTAGGATTTTAGGTACGCATTCTTTGGGGGGGGGACAGGAAAAATAACAGGAGATGATGTTGCATCCGTCTCAGCGTAGCTTTCCAGGGGGTCCGTCACGTCCCTCTGTCCCCAAAATAGTCCTGCTAGCTTTGATCTCTGGAAAGGCAGCCGGCAGCCGCTTTGTGAAGACTGCCCTCTACTGGCCGTTTCCAACATTGCGGCGGCCGTGCCCGCTGACTGACAGAAATCCCGCCACACAGACCCCGCCACTTCACTGCCTGTGAGGCCGCGGGAAAGTTATTCAGCATGACGGAGCCTCGATTTCCTCACCTGTGAAGTGAAGACGGCAGGCCCTGCCCTGCTGCCCCTCACGGTGATGGAGTGTGGAAAGTTGCTACAAAGGCCGTGTTGTGATGCTATTTCTAAGTGAACGTCTACACTGGCAGCTTACACTCTGCAGCCCCGGCCCCAGAGGCGCCCCGGTGCTGAAGCTGCTCCTGGCGGCCCCACCCGCGCGGCCTCCGGCGGGCCCCACCTGTGGCCGCCTGGCCGGGCCCGCCCGTGGCTAGAGGCGTCCTCGAGTCGCGTGTGAGGAACTCCGTGGGGGGAGGCCTGGCTCTCAGCGTTCTGCCCTGGGCGGGGAGGGGGGCCATCGGGGGTCCCCACTGGTCTGCTCAGCCGTCGTTACTCTCGCACCCAGTGGGGTGGCCGCCGAGCTGCTCCTCCGGGGCGGCGACGCCCCCACCTGGCCCAGCCCTCGCCTTCCTCAGCGGCCCGCGGCGTCCAGCGCGCGCATGCGCCCCCGCCCGCCGCCTGGGCTCGCACCTGTGCGCGCCGCGTGGGCTGCGGGCTCCCACCTGCGCGCCCCCCCCTCCTCGCTTCTGCTTTCGCTTCCCGGAATGAAGTGCCAACTCTCCTCGCCCAGCCCTCAGTTTTTTTCTACAAATTGTGTGTCCTTCTCACAAAGCTCAGGTGCCCGCACACATTTCTTCCTGACTGCCCTCTTCTTACTCTCTTAGGTGTTATTGAGCGCCAGCTATGTGCCAGGCTCTGCATGGCGGCTACAGGTAGCGTAGGAGACAATCTCGCCTCACGGAGCAGATAGTTTATGGGGTGACGGAAACTAGCAGAGCAGCCCTGACAGTGCTAACCAGATCCCCGAGACCTCTGAGGCCAGCGTTTCGGGTCCCACATGACGCAGCCACACTAGTACCTCACACGTGGCCCAGAGCCGCCTCCTCGTGGCTTTCTATTTATTCAGCGACCTCCCAGAACACCAGGAAGATTCATTTTGTAGGCCCCAAGGCGAAACCGGGAGAAGAATTATGAGAAATAAGTAGAAAAAGAGGAGAGAAAGCATTTCTCAGCATGAAATTACTCACCATTTTTCTTACTCAAATTTACTCTTCCCAGTTGGCATCTCCAGCAGGGAACTGGAGCCATTCTTGGATCACCTGTGGGGGTCATTATGTTTTGGGGATCACCTTGGGATTCCTCAGAACCTGTGGAGTTAGGAGCCTTCTCTGGAAGGCGCCTCATGTACACAGGGGTTCAGTATATGGTCACTTAGAAGTGAGCATCACTTTGTAAACCGGTGTCACGATGCGGCTGTTGGAGGAAGGACAGAAGCCTGGCAGGTGGGGGAGTGGTAGCTGGCCTGTCCCTCTACTCCTCTGTGGACATGACTGGAGAAGTCACTTTTCTAGGTGAGAGAACCCATTGCCTGATTCTGTCTGCCTCACAGGTTTCTTCTGAAGGGAAAATGAAATGAAACATGGAAAGGGCCATGTGCTATTTGTTTAGAGATGCCCAATACACCACCAGATGTACAGGGAGCTTTCTAAGCTGTCTTGGTCACCGCTTTATACCTATAACCGAATGCCATGCCTGGCACACGGGAAGCACATTTTTAAGAAGTAGCTGCAGTGGAAACCCACCATGACCTACTTTATTCTATCACTGTAGCACAACTTCTGCTCAGGTATGAACAGGAAAATAAAATTTATAATCCTCGCAACTGTATCCTCCAACCACTTAAGCTGCAATTTCTAGGTTTACTTTAATTAGTAATTCATAAACTCCTTTAGAAATTAAAACTGTCTAAACAAGCAATTGATGGTAATATTGAAGACATGTAAGCTGTTGCTGACTAAGTTCTTGACTGACAATTTCAAAACAACCACCATACCTAGGGATGAAATACTCAGGAATGCAACAAAAGTGAAAACAGAACAAAACAAAATCCTATAAACTATCTTAGCTATAATTATATAAGCAGGTACTGACTTGTATTTTCTGAAGCCCTGAAACTGCCTTCAGGGGCAGGCGAGCAAATGGTACATTGAGAAACCAAAAAAAAAAGGCAACAGCAGCAGTTATAATAGAGCTAGTCTGTCTATCTTGAGTCAAAGAAGGCAATACCTTTCTGAATTGTTCCACATTTATTCCTTGACCATCTCTTTCCCTGGTCCCACCACATCCTGCTAAACTAATACTGTCCTGGTACAAGTCCCTGGAGCGACTTGTTAGCTTTCCATCTTGTTTCTGCAAGAGTTTTATTTAGCAGTATGTGTGAGTGTGCACTTGTGTAGATGAAGGAAGGAATGAGTGCCAGCGAACCCAAGTGCAACTGAAAGCGGTCACCCCCAAACGAGGCCCAGCATAGTCTGCCCTGCTTCCTGGTTCTTGGGTTCTAGAGCCAAGCATTCATTTGGGTGTATTTCACTTTACAAGTTGCAGGTTTTTTAGTATTCCAGTTTTTGAAAGTTACCTTTTATTGAGCTCTGTGCCAAGTGCTTTACATGTGCTGTCATATTATTTCATTAGATTGATCTCACAACTACCCAGTGAAAAGTTTTTGTGCATCTCTATTCCCCCTTTATAGAGGAAGAAATAAGTCTCAAGAAAGGGTGAATAGCTTGACCCTTCACAGGACTCAGAAGTGGCAGAGGTGGAATTTGAACTCAGGCTGACTCTAAACCCTGTGCCCTTTGTCATTAGTTTCTTCCATCTTTTCCTGGTTTCCATGTCCCCTCTGGCAGCATTTCTATTTTCCTTCACTGCCTCTGGGTTGCTTTCCATTTCAAGGTGGGCCTCTACCCATAAGCAACCTACTGCTTTCTTCATCCTGGCTTTTAGTGCCCTCCCTGGTAGGACTCTTCTCTACTCTTCAGCTCCATCCTCCACCACTCCCAAGCCCAGGCCCCATTTTGCAGCTGACTCACTGTTCACTCTCCATGCCCCAGCCCAGATCCTCTGCAGTACTAGACTCCATAGGACTTTCTGCTCTAGGCATTCTCCTGGCTCACCCTACTTTCTGCTTTCTCACCATCCCCCCATTCATCTTTCCCTGCCCTCCCACTGTGCCAGGAGCAGTGAAGCCCTGATCCCTTCATGAAGCTCCCCAGTCCACCCCACGCCTCAAAAGCTGCCCTCTCATTTAGAGCTCAGGTCAGATGCTGTGAGCCCCTGGTTTGGTTAACCATGGGCCACTTAATACTACTTACTTTTATTTAACTTTTCATGTGCTATTGCTTTGTGTCCACATTAGATTATAAACTCCTTGAGTGGCAAATGTAATGTCTCTTTTGATACTTTGTGATAATTCTCTTATGACTAGCTCAGAGTTTTGCACAAGAAAGGGGATCATTAAATATATGTTGGTTTTTGTGGGACTCTACTCTTGGCAAGTTGATACCAAGCTCTCAGCCAGAGAGGCTCTAGAGAACATGTGTCAAAGAGCTGATGTCAATCATAAGTGCACAGCACCTCCCACTCAGGGCTTTCTTCTCTTTCCAATGAATTGAATACCTTGATCTACCCCTAACTCAGGCCTGCCCTTGACTAGTCATGCTGTGTACTTGGGCTAATTTTCTACTGTTGTAGTTATGTGTCTCCAGAATTCAATTACCTGGATTTGTGTCCTAATTCTGTACCTCCTCGCTGTGATCTGACTAAGCTACTCAATCACTTGGGGTCCCAGGTTCCCCATGTATAAAATGGATATAGTAGTACTATCAATAATTAATCAACTATTTATTAAGGACTTTGAAAACATCTGTGGTACACAACAAACTGTCTGCCTGCATTGAAGACCCTACCCCAGAGAAAACAGGGTCTACATTTCAAAATACAAATACTGAGTAGTGAAATGTTAGGGCATTTTGAAAAGTGATCAAACATCTCAGAATCACATTCTAGTACATCTGTCCCTCTATGTAGGATCTGATAAAAAGCTACCCACAGAGGAATAACAAGAATTAGCATTTACTGAGCATTTGTGATGTACCAAGTGTAGTGCTAAGCTCTTTGCGCACCTTACAATCCTCATTACAACCCACTGTGGTACATACTATTACTAGACCCATTTTTACCATTATTATGATCATTTACAGGAGAAGAATCCATCAGATTCCTAATAGATTTTAAATATCTTACCTGGATCACCTAGCTAATAAGTGTCAGATTTGGGATTTGAACCTGGCAGTCAGCTTCTAGAGCCTGTGTGTTTAACCGCTATACTTGTCTGCAAAGAGCAGCTTCTGATTCAACTTGGAGGGGAGCCAACAAGGAGTTAGAAATATGAGGGCATGAGCTGAGTGGTCATGGAGGAAGAGTTGTCTGAGGGAATTCCTATTGTCTGAGGCAGGGGGAAGGGATGATATGGACAAAAGACCAGAGGCACAAGAGAACAAAGAGGGCTCAGATCAATATTTTTCAATACTCTGATGGCTGGAGAAAGCCAGTTGGGTGTTGCTGACAAAAGTTACCCCAGTCTCTTCAATGTCCTGCTATAGAGCTTGAGATATTTCCTGGAAGTGAGAGGAAGCCATCAGTGTCGACATGTGTGGCCATCTACACCCGTCACCACTCAATCCACCTCCAGTGACTGACAGAATCCCTTTTATTGGTCAGGGCATCTCACCCTATTCCGCCTACACAGCCCTGTGCTTCCCACACAACCACAGACTTACCATTCCCTTTTCAGTGATTTTGGAAGGGGCAGCAACTCAGTCCTGGCCCATCGGTCCAGAGCGCATGTCTGCTGGGGGCCCAGGGAAAGTTTTGCTCCCTGTTACGGATACAGGGAGAAAGTGCTTCTTGTGCCTCTGGGTGTGGGGTGTCTGAATGCAGCAGCCATGCGCTTCCCTGTGGAGAGGCACCCTGGAAACAGCACAGTAGAGGAAAGGGGAGACCTTGGGCTCCTGGTTCTGGAACCACTGATTTAGCCTGCTGGAAGCCACCTGCCCCATGTTACCTGTTGGGTGAGACGCTGTTCATCTTTGTGGCTATGCCGTTTGAGTCAGGGCCATCTGTTTTGTAGGAGTCTAAACCAATATTATCAAAACTTTTAAAGCAAGGGGTCACTTGATAACATTAGCATGCTACAGAGATTCCTCTAGGAGTGTAGGGAATAAATTGGGCAACGATGCTGGCAGAAGGAATAGGAGTTAGGAGGGTTCTTCTCTCCTGGAGGGGGCCACTTTCAGG